AAAAAAAAAAAAAAAAAAAACCTACAGAAGTGGAATTTCTTGAGAGTACTGCACCACAACCACCTGTGTAGTTGCACCTGCCTCACAGTAAGTTTGATCAGAGCTGCCTGATCAAGGCCTATCACCAATCACCCATGACTCAGAATTGCATATGGGTGAATAGCTGGATACACACGCAACTTTGCAAGTAGTAATACTTCAAAAAGTAGAATTCTAATGACCCATAAAATGTCCTCTAAAAGTTTTTAACTTATAGATGAAAACATCTGATTTTCATACTCTTGCTCTTAAAAGAAAAAAATCAAAGCAACAAGATCCTCACAATGAAGACAAGAACAGCAGTTAAGATTGAAAAACAGCAAAACTGTAGCACTAAGGAAGTACAATATAGTAAGAACTACAAGAGACCAGGTATAGCAGCTCACTCCTATAATCTTAGCATTCTGGGAGGCCAAGGCAGGAGGACTGTTTAAGGTCAGGAGTTCAAGACCAGCCTGAGCAAGAGCAAGATCCTGTCTCTACTAAAAACAGAAAAATTAGCCAGTATCATGACACCTATATAGTCCCTGCTACTTACGATGCTGAGGCAGGAGGATTCTTTGAACCCAGGAGTGTGAGGTTGCAGTGAGCTAGGCCAATTCCACTGTACTCTACTTAGGACAAAACAAGACAAAACCCAGCAAAGACTCTGGTACCAGAATTCCCAGATCTGGAACCTCAGGCAAGCAGAGAAGTTACTTAACCGCAATAAGACCCAGCTTCTTTTTCTTTAAAATGTGAATAATGCTAAACTCACCTCATAAGATTACAGTTAAGAATCAGAAAATATACTCCATATACTCTATGTAAAGCACAGTGCCAGGCACACAGTCAGCACTTAATAAATATTACTCACCATTATATTTAAATAAGTTAAAAATATTTTTAACTATCTGTAAAAGATGTTATTGCCACTGGTAAACTACTACTTTCTCTTCATAAGTCATCAGAAAGTCTATAAATAATACTGTATTCTTTAACTCTGTCCTTCTTGACAGGTCAGAATCATAAAACCCATTTTAGAAAGTTAAACAGTTGATTCAAGGACATAATGAGGTAATAATAAAAAAGAACAAAGACAAGAAACTTTAAGCATAATAATCCTGAATGTTCTGTCTCCCCTCTCACCTAGATGTTGCTTCAGAGCCCAACCTAACATAGCACACTTATTAACGTATTCATACATACCTTTCTTTTAGACGTAATTCATCATTCATTTTTGTCAGCTGAGAAGAATTATCTCCTGACATCTTCATTATTTCTACAATATCATTTTCCAATTTTTCCTTTGCCTTTATCAACTGTTCTTCTCTTTCATTTCTCTCTCTAAATTTTGCCTCCATATCTAAATACATATGGAAAAAAGAATAGCACTACTGTGTTATATAATCAACAAAAACTTAAACCATCCTAGCCCTGGTAATATTCATATGGTAATCCCTGCCCTCATGAAAATCACATTATAGCAAAGACAACAGACAAACAAGATAAAGAAAAGGATAGTATAATAAAGAGTGATAAGTGCTAAGAGGAAAAGTAAATAAAGGCAGGGAAAGGAGCTGGGAAGGAGGTTAAAATCCTAGATGGGGCCTCTCTAAGATGGTGACATTCAAGTAAAGCCTGAAGGATGTGAGGGAAAAGGGGAGAGTGCAAAGTCTCTGGGCAGGAATGTGCCTGACATGTCCAAAGTATTTGCAAGGAGGCCAATAGGGCTGGAGTGCAATAAGCAAGGGGAAGGTGGTCTGAGATGAAATCCAAGAGGTAATGGGTCTGGTAAGAACCACAGTTCTGAGTAGGATGGGAGTGCTGGATAATTTTGAGCAAAGAAGCAACACCATCAGATTTCCTGTTAAAAGGACTGCTCTGGCTACTGTGTTGTGAACAGACTGAAGTGGGCAAGGGCAGAGCAGCAAGCCTGGGTGGACAGCTGTCATGATAGTTCGGATGAAAGATATTCATTGGCTCGGCGCCTGTGGCTCAAGTGGCTAAGGCGCCAGCCACATACACATAAGGTGGCGGGTTCGAATCCAGCTCAGGCCTGCCAAACAACAATGACAGCTGCAACCAAAAAATAGCCAGGCGTTGTGATGGGCTCCCGTGGTTCCAGCTACTTGGGAGGCAAAGGCAGGAGACTCTCTTGAGCCCAGGAGTTGGAGGTTGCTGTGAGCTGTGATGCCATAGCACTGTACCCAGGGGGACAGCTTGAGGCTCTGTCTCAAAAAAAAAGAAAGAAAGAAATTCATTGGTTTGAAGCAAGGACAGTGGAGGGACTGGGTACGAGGTGGTTGATTCTGGCTCTTTTGAAAACAGAGCAAAGAGGACTTGCTGAAAGTTACAGACTTTAAAGAAGTATTTCATTGTGTTATATTCACCATCATGAGAGAAGAGGAACATAGTAGATATGTAACATTCTATAGCTGTGTCAAATCCTGGGAAACCCACTGCATTTAATGTTTGGTAACCAGAGACATCATCTTACCTGTTAAATTTTCTCTCAACTTCTCCAATTCAGAAGACAGCATATTAAACTCTTCTTCCTTTTGGTGTAACTTATTTACAGTTTCTATTTAGGATAAAGTTAAAAGTTTAGTATGCTTCATATTTAATAATCCATCTAGAGCTTGGGTGTCTTACAACCCAATCAAATCATATACCTGTGAAACTTGAGAAGACAAGAATACTATAAAGTCCCATTATAGAAACCACAGGAAGCAGGTGTGCAGCCTTCCTTTGCTTCTCAAATCTGTACATTAGGCAGGACCAGGCATGCCTTTCCCACTCATCTCTCTTCTCCTTCTAAGTAAAGCTTGGTAAAGCTATCGATGACAAAAGCTTAAATAACATAATACTTTTCCTAGGAATACTTACATTTTAATATAGAACAAGCTTAATGTCAAAGGAGAAAAGATTAGTTGGGAGTTAGAGGCTTTTCGGAAAGCTAGTGAAATTCAGTATTTCCAGGCACTACAGGAATTTCAGGATAGAGAAATCAGACTATAGGCAGCATCTATTCTGAGTACTCCAGAGGCTGGCTCCAGCCTGAGTGCATGATATTCTCTAATGATCTACTCACCCTTTAGTAAGACATACCTTGCATATTTCTTTGAACAGAGACCGCCTCCTCTGAAGCATCAGCAAATTTTTCTTTCTAAAGAAAAAAGAATTAGATATTCAGAATAGAAAGATTTCAAATTATAAAGATAAAAGTTTCTATCAATTATAACTATAATGCTAACTCCTTTTTTATTACTGGTCTTGTTTTATTAAAACTAACATACTTGGCTTGGTGCCTGTGGCTCAAGTGGCTAAGGTGCCAGCCACATACACCTAAGGTGACAGGTTCGAATCCAGCCCAGGCCCACCAAACAACAATGACAGGTACAACCAAAAAATAGCCAGGCATTGTGGCAGGCACCTGTGGTCCTAGCTACTTGGGAGGCTGAGGCAGAAGACTTGCTTGAGCCCAGGAGTTGGAGGTTGCTGTGAGCTGTGATGCCACAGCATTCTACCCAGGGGGGCAGCTTGAGGCTCTGTCTCAAAAAACAAAAACAAAAACAAACAAACAAAAAAAAAACAACTAACATACTTAGGCTTAGCGCTCATTGCTCAGGAGCTAGAGTACCAGCCACACACACCAGAGCTAGTGGGTTCAAACCCAGCCCAAGCCTGCCAAACAATGACAACTACAGCCGGGGAAAAAAAAAAAAAAA